CACAAAATTAACTCTACCACTACTAGAAATAAGTCTACCGATCACAAAATTAAATCTACCACTACTACAAATAAGTCTACCACATATTATAAATCTACCACTACTATAAATAAGTCTACGATTGCGAACCATCAATAAGTCTACCAACCACTTAATAAATTTACCAATCGCAAATAAATCTACCATCACATGAACGGTAGACTTATTCATTTTTGGCGGGAAAATTTTACTGCCTCATTAATGGCAGTTTCGTAAATACGTTTTTTGTCTTCAAAGAAAATAAGGCTAAAACGGATATAATAAATCTTTAAAAGTTGTTTGAGTAATTATGAAAGATTAGCATCATTTTGGTCAAAAAACCATTTTTCAAAATTGTTTTAGTAAACCTCTCTAAAATCTATCTACATATTTTGGTTTCCAAATATGCATATGCCTTACTTTAATTTTTTCACTTTTAAAAGTTACTTATTTGTTGTAAACATTTGATTTCCAGTAAATTATTTATTGGACTATTAATTTCCTGCTCTTCAACAGAGCAACCCTGTTCGATTGCTCCACTTGGCTGTGCTATAAGACGGTCTGTTTTCAATGTAGCAAATAAAACAAATAACTGAAAGAAGAAGAAAAATGTCTGCAACAAAAGAGATCTTCGAGAGGTTCGATCTTCAAAGATGAAGTTTGAAGCAAAAATAAATCTTATGAGAATATAAACCTTTAAGGAGCTCTGTCAAAAGGCTTGGTGTCATTGTAACAAGTATCCCACACTGCTTCCATCGCGTCTTTCGCTGCTATGTCGGAGCAATGCGGGTTACCACGAAGCGATTTCAACACTCTTCTTTTTATACATTCCTTTAGAGAAAACCGAGGATCGGGTAAATACTAACAAGAATCATCCATAATTCCACAAGTGTTTATATGATTTAGCTAATTCAACTCTTGTCATATAGTGACTTACTTGTTCGTGCCCTCTTACTTTGATGAAACCCCTCAAGAGTTCTCTCTTGAAATGGCAATCGCCGCTTAGATGATTTGCACGTATCTGTTTAAAGA